GTCTAAACCTAAATACTCAGTTTTGAGACTCACATTTCTAAGATATATATATATATATATATATATATATATATATATATATATATATATATATATATATATATATATATATATATATATATATATGTATTTAGAACATTACTGGCCAAAGTTTTTTTTAATGCTGTCTAAACCTATATATATATATATATATATATATATATATATATATATATATATATATATATATATATATATATATATATATATATATATATATATATATATATATATATATATACATGATAATGAGGGTCTCACATGTAGAGTTTCTTTCAGGCATCCCACCACAGGGGTAGTGCCCCATCGGAGCACATTCACCGCCATCTACCCAAGACGAAATAGGAAAAATAATTATTTTTAAAAAATACACTTTGACTAGTGTCCCTCCCTCCCACCCCTCCCGTGAAATTTTAAAAGCCCCCCCCCCTTTTTTTTTCCTCCCTCCACACACACACACACCACTCTCAGAAGTTTCAAATGCCTACATGAGATAAATGTCTGAAAGAAACCTCGCTCATATGGAACCACATACATTCTTTACAACCACAAGTGGACTTTACCTAATGGTTTAGGTGTTTGGAAGTCAGTGTCAAATTAGAACTTTATATCCCGAGAATGTTTAAACAATGTAATTAATCATCTTGAAATCAGACGCCGTTTACAATAGGTTACACTCTAAACTTGTCTCCTAAATCCCCGTCTGTTTATATATTCATTTATCTTGATGTCTCAGCGATATAAATTAGCTACATGACACAGGCAATAAATATTGAACAAACACAAAGGCAGATTTGTTCAGCCCAAAAGTGTTATTTAAAGTATGTCAAAGATGTGGCTATTTTTACCTGGGTCTATGGAAAGTGTGTCTAAGTAGGGGCACGTAATCTTCACGAGATACTGTTAGAGCTTTGTGTCATCTCCCTTGGCGTAAAGACTCACAAAATAAAGATTGTATAACAGTATTAAAAAAAATTAAATGTAATGGATATGCATGTCAGAATGCTAGATAGAAAAAAATGCTGCTTGGGCATTTTGTATTGTTTATATATTATCAAGACAAAATGGAGGTCTTTAGATTCCATGGCAGTGCATCTGATACCACCAAATGAATTTTCTTTGCTAATGTAAACGACGCGGACACGACACCGTTTTGTTTTTGTCTATTATTTTTAAGACTGATACATGGCCCCTCTCCTTCTCTGGGATCTGGTTACCATAACAATTGTATTTCAGCAATAAAAATGTATTTTTTACATGAAAATCTGTAAGGAATTCAGTTACACGCACATAAATACATTATACATATATAGGCTTATATATATATATATATATATATATATATATATATATATATATATATATATATATATATATATATATATATATATATGTATATGTATATATACATATACATATACATATATATATATATATATATATATATATATATATATATATATATATATATATATATATATATATATATATATATATATATATATATATATGGTGTTCATTACATATTGATTCACCTAATGACAAGATAAGCCTAAGTAAAATAAAAGCTTGTAATATCTCACTGTCAATCAATGTTTAGTATTGCGATTTACATTCTACTTACCTTAACCGATATAAGGGAGTGAACTCTAAAATTGTGTGACTACTAAACTATATTTGGGCGTTGCTGACAAGCTTAAAATATAATAACCCAAAGTTTAAGAAACTTAAGTGGGTAAATCCAACTTCCTTTTATATAGTCAGCAGTCTTAACATTTTTTCCCCTTGAGAAACTGGGTCTTTTTATACCCGTCGAAAAAAGATTATAATTAACTGATCAGATTTTATTTAATTCTATTTTCAACCCTCTGAGTCAGCTTTATTTATGGACAACATTACCTGACAGGTAGCTTATTCTTGATTGTGTTTTTAAAAATTCAATTTTTTTTATCACCAGCATCCCGTGTGAGTGATGTGTTATCTACCAGTCACTCACATAGGCGGTTAGTGTTCGAATATGCTGCTAGACCTCCGCTGTTGCATAGCTTTAAAAAAACTCATGTTTATTCTCAATGCTTGGGTGAAGTGTGATAAAAAAACGACCCCCTCACTATGCAGAAGATGGATGTAACATCAGTCCCCGACATGGTCAGGATCTGTTTTTAAGGCGTAATTGATTGGTCGCCTGCTAGTACAGATATCAAACTCATACGTTTTCTGTTTGTTTGTTTTTTTTGTATACAGTCTGATGGTCTAGTTTTTTAAAGACTTATGGTCTAGTTTTTTTAAAAAGTCTGAGGCTAGTTTTTTAAATACTAATGGTCTAGTTTTTTAAAGACTGACGGTCTATTTTTTGTACAGATTGGCGGTCTTGTTTCAGTACAACTTGACTGTCTAGTTTTGTTTACTTTATAGATTCGATGTTAAATGACAGTCTATAGAAAATAGACCGTCATGTAGC